AGACAGACAGACAGACAGACAGACAGACAGACAGACAGACAGACAGATAGACAGATAGATAGATAGATAGATAGATAGATAGATAGACAGACAGACAGACAGATAGACAGATAGATAGATAGATAGATAGATAGATAGATAGACAGATAGATAGATAGATAGATAGATAGATAGATAGATAGATAGATAGATAGATAGATAGATAGATAGATAGATAGATAGATAGATACAGGTAATTTCCAATGGGGGATTAGTTCATTCCAGTTACTGTAAACTCATCTAAGTCAGTTGTTTTGTCACAATGTTGAGATGTAATATTTACATTTAGTAGCTTGGTCTTTTTCAGATTATTAAAATAGGATCTGTGATGACCAAGATCAGTCAAATCCGACTGACTTACTGAAGTACATTCACATTTTGTCAAGATGAAAAGAAACTGATCGGAACACTGTCAGCTCTTAAAGAAGATATGACATAAATGCACGACCACAAAAACAAGGGTTGGTGCTCCCCCCAATCTGGCAGCAGCTGATAGAGGAGACGGCCCCCCACCATGAGCTATAAGTAGAGTGGAAGCAAGAGACATCTGGGTGCACCGCCCTCACAGTGAGCTGATAAGAGAGGCAATGCCCACCCCCAAAGACTGAGCGTCTGAACACAGCGTGAGTAAATGTAAACACTGACTGTGAACATTCAGTCTAAATATCAGCAGCTTCTGCTTAAAACTGAGCTGCCTTTACAGACGTCTTAAATACACAAATATATCAGAAAATACAAAATAGTCGCTGTAGCCAGATATGTGTGGCAGAAGGCATGAATTTACTTGGTTTACGAGCAGTTTAAAAAAAACAGGAATAACATGGAATATGTTGCATGGAACATTGCATGTAAACAGAAAAAAGTCTGGGTCGCAGACTTAGAGATACAGAGTAAGAAGATTTTTGCAAATAGCTGTAATTAGACTTCATAATCTGGTACTCACTTCTTCTTTGTTGTCGGTGATTTGCCTCTTGGTCTTAATGCTGCCCATTTTCTTTATGACCGCTCCTGTCGTACTTCACATGAAACAGTTAAATCATACTGTCACTGTCCCAGCAATATTTTTGTATTTCTTTTCTGCTTGAATTATGTTAATTCAAAGAAAATGCTGGTCGCTGTAGCACGAAAGTAGTAAAGGTAAGAGTAACAGTAAAACTCAGCTAAACTCAGCAAAACCACCCCAGAATTGCCAAACGTTTTACTGCTAACAACCTGAATAATGTGTTTAGGCCATCTTACTTGGTACTGATGCCATCACACATGTTGGAGGACTGAAAATTTCTGGTCTGTTTGGTCGGTCTGCTGCTTCTCCTCGGCCCACTCCTCCTGCCACCTGTTTCAGTGTGTAATTTGACTTGAGAATGCCCCAAATACTTGCTGACTACTTTTTTGGGGAGACCAGCTGCTGTATGTTATTATCTCTAGGTGGGAAAATCCCAAAACTTTGAATCCCAGAACTCACAGATTGTCCAGGTCAGACGGTTACTGTTAAGATTTTCTGTCCTTACCTGAAGGGATCATAAGACGTGGTGATCTCCTGTCAACACAAAACAAACGTTTTCAAAATGGAAATTGTTACATGCAAATTTGTATACTATATATACACATATTATATATAAAATGAATTTGTATGAACAAATTAGGTGCAGACTTCACAGAAAATTGAAAAACTGATCAAATATGGCAGAAAACAGTTCACTTGCATGGCTGAAAAAGGAAACACTTTAACACCACCCTTGCAGATGTATTATAAAAGTACTCGTTTCAAATAGTAATATTGGTCATCTGAGACAAATAAACAAAATAATGTGTTTTTCGGTAAATGTATCTCTACAGGTAGTTGTAGTTGTAAAAGTTTAAAGAAACAAAGCTCTCAAATGTTCAAATAAAAACACCTGACTTTTCTAACAGTGTTTGTTCTCCTAAACAAACTACAGAGTTATTTTTAATGTGATTTCTGACCTGACGGTGGTCCTTGCTGGTTTCGAAGGCTGAACTTCAGGTGTTTCTGAATCAGTGTGATCATGTTCTTCATCCTCAGCAGGTAATCCCTGAGGAAAATTTAATATTAATCTTGTATGAATAACCACGAGCAGAAAACTGTTGTATGATAAATAATCTCTGACAAACAGTGCAGGGAGTAAACTACAACATTCAAAACGTTTTGTAGAAATTTTGTAAAAGACACCCCAGCTGCTCATTTTTTGTCACATTATTTAATTTATATAGTGTGATATTGCTGTTATAAAGGAAGACTAATTGAATTTTATATAAGCAAAACACTGATGAATGCATATAACTACATATTGACTGCAGCTATTACTTAAAATATTGTACCAGACATAAGACCATTTCCCACCACAGGTCAGAATCATTATTAAATATATTTCTAATATTTATTTGAATAAGAAGAAAAAATATATAAAGAAAATATTCAGTACACTACTGTTTGAATCAATAATCAATAATGACTAATTTGTCATTAAAGTCAGAAGTTTAAAGCAACAAAATTAAAAATATTTATAAAAAGGCAAAGATGATACACAAGATATTGAACATATTATGTTGAAAAAGGGGGCTACTATGTTAAATATTATATCATAGTTATATTTCCTCCCTAAGCTTGTTGACCTGATATGTGTCTGTTCTTTTTCGAATTAAAACTCAATTGATGCAGAAAAATCTATTTATGAACGCCAACTGAGTTTCAAACACAGATACACTCACATTGGACGGCCCACGCTCCTTTGACGGTGTTATTGTGTTCCTCCTTTGGCCCTTTGAGGGTGTTCGCGGTGGGGTCTTGGAGCTCCTGGCCGCCTTACGCTTCCGCTTTGACTGCCCGCTGCTCCGGTCCGCATCCCCTATGCCTCGGCCGCGTGGCGTCACCATAGCAACAACAAACGTTCAAGCTAACATGGAATATGTTTAATGTTAGCTTGCAGAGCATTTGACACCGAAAGCGAATAAAGACCAAAGGCCGGCGCGGTCGCCTCAGAGTGTTTACCGCTGTTTTGCTGAGATGAACAGCCGTCTGCGCGGTGAGAGGAGAGCTGAAACACAAACACAAACACACCCCGACAGCCCGATCAGCTGATGGAGCGCAGGCCAACTGCTGCGTCGATTCAAAACACGGAGTTCTGCCGCCGCCTGGTGACGTCACGGCGTAAAGTGCGTGTCACACGTTGAAGAGAAAATTTACAAGAAAATTATCACTACAAGTAGTTAATACATTTCGATGTTATTAATGGAGAATAAATCACAACACTTTCGATTCTAAAGTAAATATATATTACTTCTTTTTTTAGAAATACCCTCCAACTCGTTTGACTATACTTGATGCTTTTTTACTTTTCATGTGCAAATGAAATCAATCAAAAAATTTAAGTTTTAAGACACCAGTCAACAATCGAAGAATTGATCTCCCTTAAATTATCCTCCCAAATGTAACTCCTTTCTTTTATTAATATCATTGTGCTGTTAATGCAAACAAGACTGATCAATATACAGAAATATGGCGCTAACTTTTAAAAGCGAACATGTTTAGTTCTACAGGCAGAGTAAAATATTTCCTCTCCTAAGCACATAAAAAGAAATTAATCTTTAGCAAGCCTTCAGACTGTAAGTTTATCAGACAATGAAGCAACTCATTCATCTTTATTTCAAGCATTTTTTATTTACAATCCCCCATTACCAAGCAATCTTATCAAGACAAAAAAGCATTCTGGTATCTGGTATGTCAAGATAATGTGAATTAAAGTTACAAAAAAAACAATCACAAATATCATAACACAGATACAATGGGCTGTATTTTAAACATTTCACACAGCAGCTGTAAATCACAACTGTCTTACCATCCATGTCACCAATGAAGCCAAAGTAGTTAAAAACTGCAGTACAAATTCAATGTCTTCTTACAATTAAACTAAACTTTTCTGATTGTAAGTTTTCTTAGGCTATGATTAAAAGTTATCAAATCTTGTGAAAAAGGCGTCTACGAGAGGAAAATCAAGAGCATAAGCCAACAAAGAAAAGATTAATGAGTAGAAAACCATATTCTTTATACATGCTATCTGAGGTGGTCAAACATCTTATCATATTTGACCAGTTTAAAGCAAATCTTATTTATGTGTCAACATTATTAACAGCAAATGTGTACATTATTCACAGGTCAACATATTTCTTTTGTTTTTAGCACATTGACTGCAAATAATATTCAAAAAGAACCAAAATGAAAATGTTGCTTTACTTTTCTTCAGATTTTCGCATTCATCAGCTTCAATGTTCTGAACTAAGCAGTAAATATCGAATTAATCTTTTCACCAGTTGGTAATAAAAAATATCTAATCAATTAGACTGAGGTTTATCTTTAAGAGACATGGAAACACATGTTACTGCTGACACATCAGCTTTTAGAGAGGCATTCTCTCAAAAGATGACTCTGTTGACCATTTTTAATTGGTAAGCCTCTCAGTGAATTTATAAGCAACTCCTGGTTCCAAAGGAATCAATTAACCCCTTCGGGGCTTTCGGGGGTGATTGATCTGCTTGTCCCAGAATTCTTTTCGTCGCCTGTGAACAGAAGTTACATTTAAGCATTTTTATTCTGGCTTTAACTTGAACCTCCGAGCCTGAAAAATTCAAACATCTCACAAAACAACAAAAACCTCATTTAGCGTTACATTTTCTATCTAGGATAGTGTCTGAGACACTAAAGCAACAATCTATGAATGGCATTTGAAAAGGGTTCACAGGGTACTTACTGGACACGCCAGAATCACCACTGTTGACAGATGGGTTTGAGTCTGTGAAATAAAGATTGAGGTTAAGCTAACCAATCACAAGAATTGAAGCTGTAAAGCAGACACACGCTGGTGTTTGTTGTCCCTCGTACTTTCAGCATTAAAATTTCAAACCATTTTGAATTACTCATGATTGAAAATGTCAACACTCATGGTGGGAAGTTACCCGGTAACTCTGATAACATTTTTAAACATATCATGTGATGCCTATGAATACGAAGGTAAAGTCATAGTTAGTCATAAACAGAATCAAATTAGCTAAAAGACTGAATGCATCATAAAACTGTACCACATGATGTAACTGTCAGCCACAATGGTCGTTCTTCAGGAAAAGACTTACCAGTTTTGACGAGTGGTGAGTTGTCATCAGTCTGACTGTTGGCATCACCTGCAAACACATTAAAAGTGTGAAAATAAAACTATCTGCCACACCCTCTTCAAGTGTTTACATTCATATGTAGATTAATAACCAAAGCCAAATGAAACACTTTCCTGTATTATGTGTGCTAATCAGAAATGTGACATACATATACTGACATGCTAGTTTTCATCCTGTTTCAAACTCCAGGATTCAAAGTGCAACATAACTCAAGAGTTCATCCATAGATCAATGACAATGCCTAAAAGCATTTAATGATCAAATTAAAAAATAAAACTAGGCGCAATTGTGAAATTTTCAGGGAAACACTTACCGCTGGGAGGAGTGATGAGAGGTGTGCTCACACCATTAGGGCCACTCTGACTGAGGGGATTACCTGCACAAAAAAAAACAAAGAATTATTTCCACCCATCTGCTCCTAACTGGTGTACTGTTTCATATCTCCTGCCCTTTAAAACACTGTTTCCACCAGATGAGGTTCATTTTTATTTGGATTGGACAGATTTTATCCCCACCATCCTCGGATCCTTGGCTGTTAGACAATATTTCTAAGCAACTAATAGTTACAAAAACATATTTTACACACTATTCTACCACCTTTATGGTTCTCAAAAAAAAGTTTTTTTCCTGTTAAAGCAGCAGATTTATTTCAGCAGTAAAAGCCAAACAGTTACTTTAATATTTTTGCTGCTAAAATGATTTCACATAATACATAAGATCAATAACAAACTTACCAGAAGAAACTGATGTAAGAGAAGATCCTGAAAAGAACACAAAAACGTGGTCATCATTTACGGATAGGAAACTGACAAAAAAGCTGTGACAATCATATTAAAAGCTTTGCCCATCAAAATGAATCGAATGAAGAAAAACAAAGTTACCATGGCTGCCTTTCTCTTTCTTACAAATGATTCCTGTAAATACAGATCATGTCAGTGAACATTAATAAAAATCTCACACGTCTTTCAGACTTAGTGAAAAAAATATGCAGCTTGTTTCTTTTCAATTGAATTTTTTTATGGTAACTGACGTAAAAAGATTTCAAGATTAAACCACACATCTCGTCACAGACGACGAAAACTAGGGCTAAATAATGTTGCGCTCCAGAAATCAATCATAAAGTCATACAAAAATTTTTTCCTGATAAACGACACAGAAGTTACACTACTTTTCTCTTCTGGCTAAACAGACCCTTTAAATGTGTCTCATACATACCTCGCTTCAAGAGAAGCAACAAACCAACACCCGCACCAGCAACAAGGAGTAGTACTGGAACCACAATGCCAATTGTAAGTCCAGGTCCAGGAAGGGCGTGATCTAAACAAATCAGAACAGTTTAATTAGCTTGATAATGTTACAGGCAATTTCAGGTCTTATGGCTAATAGATCATAATGTCATGGATTGATGAGGAGACAGCTGATAGCAGCACAGAGATGTTTCACACTGACTGGATTCAAACAAAGACCTCCAACAACTTACAGGATTTTTTCTCCTTTAGACTGAAATCGGCACGCACTTTGCTCAAGCTTCAGACCAAACAAAAATGTCTTACCCCATTTCTTCTCAATCGCCAACTTGGAAGCTCGATGGATAACTTCACATGTGTATTCAGACTTGTCTGCCTTCAGAATCTCCACAAAGTCTTTTCTCTGAAAGGTGTCGTCTTCATTTGGACGAACTCCAGTGGTCTGAATCCCGTCCTGTTCGTTCAGGATGCGGCCCTCTCTTTTGATGCGCAGGATGATCTCTTTGGGATAGAAGCCTGTGGCCATGCATGTCAAAATAATTCTGGAGTCCAATTTGGCTGTTTTTGCAAACAGATGCACATCAGGTTCAGCTGGAAAGAGAAAATGTCATCAATAAGCGCAGGGCAGCTTATAAAACAAACAACTATACTGAGGAACAATATCAACCAGTATTTCTATGCCCAAATCTGAGTACATATTCCAGAGATTTCCTTTGTATTTCTATCCTCTTTAATCCTCTTTTCTATCTATTTCTGAAGATCACAAACTTAACTGAATTTAACTGATCTCTGATAGGAGGATCCTTACCATGATTGTTCTTAAATAGTTTTTTGTTTCTTCCTTCTAGAGCATTTAACTAAACTGGTTTTCACAAAATAAAAACATTTCATGATATAAACATAAGATGTCCAAATAAATAGGTTCAACTGAGAAAAAAGAATGGGGCCTTCTATCATACGTACATGCTGAGAGCAGCTGCTTTTCGCCATACGTCCTGAACCTGCTCAACCAGCTAATGCACTCATTCTCCAGGTATCCTTTTGTGTAATCTTTCAGGACTGAAACAACGTCCCACTTCCTCTTAGTTTCCTTCGCCGCATCTGTCGGGGCAACCCACACTTGGTGTTCGTCGTCAAAGCTCAAGAAGTCGCTCCCATCATAGCTGTACTTGTCTATGCCACTGACAAACTTTATGCTGTTGTCAGGTTGAACTTCACCCTTGCAACCGTGCATCCACTGAAGAATATGGACATCTGAAGGAGAAAAAAAACAAGCTCTGAACGCTTTCATTTGATCAAATATATCATCTTGTCTCTTTTGTTTATTTGCGTAGTGTTCACTGGTTATGAGCTGTTATTTATGATTAGAATTCCTTTGGTCTAACCTGAATCATTCTGTCTCATTCGGTCCTTCAGGATGTCAATGTTGACCTTGAACCACTGCTGCTTGCTCTGCCGGGACTGGGTGCCTTTCTTCCAATACTCTTCATCAAGCTGCTCTTTCATCCAATTCTGTTTGGGAATTTTTTCCTTACTTACGCTGTCGTAGTAGTCAATCATCCTGTTGTCCAAAAGACCCATGGCAGTGAACTCATGGATGCCTGGGAGCTGCACAGGTTTGGAGAAGGCCGTGTAGATGTACATCAGGGAGTGAAGCTCTGAAACAAACAAGAGAACACACAGATTAAATTGCTATCAACACTATAATACAAACCTATTTGGATTCAAACACGACCCTCCCAAAAGTAACAATGCTTCTTACACATTTGTTGAACATAAATACTATCAGTTTATGTGTAATGGGGGGGATTTAAAAGTTCTGACATATCTGTGCGCCTGTGCTTACAGACTCACAAAAAAACAAAGTTTTACAGACAGTGGTTGTTGACGGCAGCAGTGAGGGTGACAGAGGTATGGCAGCAATGTCACCCGTCCACATATGAGCGACAAGCCTCCACCTGACGGTGACTGAAACCTCTCCACATTATTTCACACCAGGGCATTATATGTAACACGGAAAAGCTGTTCACCAAAACAGTTAGTTAGTTAGTTAGTTAATAGATAGATAGATAGATAGATAGATAGATAGATAGATAGATAGATAGATAGATAGATAGATAGATAGATATGCAAGTTAGGCGCCGAAATTCGGTTGGAAACGGGAGAGCTATAAATGGCATAATAAATATGCACAACCGTAATAGGGAGGCGGCCGCTGGCAGAGGGCCCTTAGTTAGACATGAACGAACAGGTTGCCCACATTTGTCTCAAGTTTACGCTTCATATTTCAGATTAAATTTAGCTAGTCTGATTTTGTACAAATTCAAGGTGGAAAAGTACACACTACTAAATACAAACATATCATTTTGGTAAATAGAAATGTCAATTTTATTGACGTCACAGACTTACTTTCACTTTCAACAAAAGCGGTGTTACCGCGTCAAATATACGCTAACTTACCGGAGTTCACCCCCGCTCCTGTCCCCAAAAGGAGAATAAACAGGAAAACGAACATTGTGAATCCAAATGAATGTTTGTCTTGTCTTTAAATTCCGTTTTATCAAACTATTTCTGAAGCGTCCTTCACTGCGTCAGCTCGCCACCAACAGCCTTCAGGACTGGTCTGTCTATTTCCTTCCTTGTTATTTTCAGAGAACGATGCGTTCACGGTCGCTCGTGCGCTAGAGACGCTTCATTGTGGCTCTCACAAGCACTTTAAAACACAATGGAAAATAAAGATTTGTATTTCCACGTTCCACATAAAAAATCTAGGTCTGTTAACTAGGTATTTCTTCTCAATCGAGTCTTGTTCTGACACTATAATGCACGACCACATTTTGTAGGCATAAGCTGGACATCAACCAAATATAAAAACTGTGACATCGACACAGTCCAAAAAATAATTATCTGATAGTAAGCAACTTTTGTTTGTTCAACCTAAAGTCTTAAAAGACGGACCAGAAATGTTGACCTCTTTCTAAAAGTGCAAAAAATAGTTAAAATTCTAACAATTAGGAAACATTTACTATAATTTTGTTTAGTTTCCAATCCCAGTTTGTATGTTATGCCCTATACACACATACAAATAATTTCTACTTCCAATTAATTTATGTAGTTAGTATTTTTTGTGATTCGTCATTTAATATTTTAAGTCTTGAAAAATAAGCGAACAATGGGAACAAAATGCAAAGTGCATTATGTCCCATTCTAAGGCAAAAGCTATTTAGTAGTGACCCTTTCTGGTTAGAAAATGAACACTGAATTTTTGTTATGAAGACGAAAATACTTCTTCTAGGGATAAAAATGTAGTTACCTGTGCTATTTTACAAATACAATTACCTGTATTTATTTCTATGTAATTAATAATCCAATCAAACATTCTAAACTAAAGTAAGTTGTGCATGAAGTATTAGAAATCTCGGGGGGGGGGGGGGGGGCATTTCTGAAGTTCTAGACGGCGTGGAGTCTAAGCTTTTTGAGTGATCGTGCATACTGCTAAAAGTACACAAGGATCAGTGAACGCATCATCACATTTCTTAACGCTTCAGGAAGGAGATCCTCGCAGCAAGCCCCAAAGATCAAATTGTGCTATCTGTCTTCTATAATTTACGAAGTGAATATGAAAAAAATATTATAAACATATTGCACAGTTTTTATACCCACATTAATGTAATCAAACTAAGAAAAGTCCTATATTTTCAGGATGTAGCTAGTGATTTGAAGCGCGAATGTAAACCGCCTTTGACAGGCAGTTTTATGTTTTCAGTTTTTCACTTTACACTTCAACCAGGTCTACGTTCACCCACATTCAAGCCAGAAAAGCAATCTTATCCATTTGTCACCCGGACTTCATCCACCATATTGTCCCGAGTTCGCTAACCAATAAAAAAATGAGCTGCAGTCGCTAGGCAGATACTATAAAAAGACCTTAGTCACAGAGTGTTGCGGTCGTATTCGACGCATCTGGCTTTGTCATTTAGACTATTTAAAATCCGCGTTTCTGATCAGTGATTAAAAAATACATATACTTAAAAAGTGCAAATAACAACTATAAATGGTTTGTATATATAATGTCATATCTCATTAATTTTGGACTAATGATTTGTATGTGTTTGAGGCGTCCAACATATTTTCCAGTTGATTAAGAAAGCTCTAAAGGCAATCCCACATCTTAGTGGACCAGAAACAAATCTCTCCTGGTCTAGCTCAGATCAGATAGGATTTTCACTTTCTGCGCTCAAAGGCAAGATCTTGTGTGTTAAAAGTTTGCTGGCATTGCTTTTAAAAACTAATACAATACATGGTTGTCTTGATATTCTCATAGGTAATGTTAGGTTTACCCAGGTGGGTTAGGTTCATAGTATTTGAGTAATTGTTGTCACACATGACTGCTTTTACATGTCACTGTTTATGGAAGTGTTGTATCATATAAAGAAGAAAAGTCAGAAGAGGCATAAACGTAAGTGTATTCATTTTAAAGTTACTGAGCTTTGGACAAACAACCTTCTCTTCACTGTAAATTGTTAACTAACTTTATGTCTTAACATTTCGCAACATCTCTGAGCTGTTTTATTTCTGTCGATTGAGATTAGAGCAGAAGTGCAAATCCTGACATTCACAGTCGTGTGTTTTATAATTCATTTAGTAATATGGACAACTTTTTGATTTTAACAAATGTATCTACACTTTATAGGATATTAATGTTTATGAGCAGGGCTCTATTTTTCTAAATGCCAATAATAATTTAATCATTTTCAATGGCACCTGTGTACACTATTAAGCCATCTAGAAAAAACCCCACAAAGTTAATGCACTTTAATGTCTAAATGACATATAACAGACAACTATCAAATAGTATGGTGAGTTTTTTATGAGTCTGAATATTCCAACGATTTATTCTGTATTTATAATCAAACCAGCAGATAGCACAATTCCAAACACTCATTGAGATACACATGTCGTATTACACTGCTAGATTTTGGAGGTGATGTTGATAATTACCACGCAGTTTTCAGTTGAAATATTGGATACTAGAACCTACACAACATTTTTTAAACCAGAGGCATATACAGAAAAATATGTATTTTTGTCATTTGGTGTTCAAATAATACAGATCCATAAAAGTTGCTATTTGTTTTCTGTTTAATTTGATCATTTAGATCATACAAACATTTTGTCAAGGTAACACAGGTTATTTTCTTTACGACAGCCTGACAAAACACTTGGTCAATTTCTACTTTTAGAGGCAGTGATGCATCTCTTTTTACCTTATTGCAGACTGTCACTTTTTTTTTAAAACTAAATGTTCAGGTCGCTTCACCATCCTTAATCGTCTACACTGACACCCCATGAGCTTGAACAAGGATAAGTGGAATTCTTGCTTTTTTAAGTCTCGAAGTCCACTCGGGCATGTTTAAGCACTTGGATAACCCAGATCTGGATGACTGAGAATCTACACCAACACGTCTCCACAGATTTTCACTCTTTTATTCTCTCATTCCTCTCCTCTCTCATCCCTATTGAAATCCCTCTCTTTTTGTTCTTACTAAGTGGCCTCTTTGCTCCCTCCTTTCCCTTCACCCCTCCATTCAGCCGTTCCCTTTTAGTCCACCTTTTCCTTCCAAAGCGAAAACCGAATCCTCCTTTCTCGCGGCTGACAGCTTGAAGGCCTCCGGCCATGGAGGTTAGAGCATCATTTCTTTTCCACCCATCTTCCCCTTCTCCTTCTTCTTGATAGTGCATGCCTTCTAGGGAGTTTTCCCCATGGAAAGGAGACAGTGGCAAGTCCATGAAGTCTCCTCTCTGGGCCCTCAGCAGTAATTCTTCTTCCCACGGCTCATCCTCCTGTTCCCCGTCCTCTCTGGACTCAGACAGGACTGTAAGATAATCTTGAGGCCATTCTGGCATTGTTAGAGGGTCCTTCGGGTTCTCCAGGGCAGCCTGCAGGTGCTGCAGAGCGGACTCCAGCTCAAGGCCATTCACTGTAGGTAGGAGAGTGGTGGAGGTCTGGGGATAGGTTGTAACTGTTCGTGGGATGGGGCACAGGAGGGCAAGGAAGACAAAGGCGAACTGCGAGGCGCCAAGATGGAAAGATAGACTCATCTGCAAGCAGATGAACAGTCATGAGGAAGTAGTCATTAATCCATTCCCAAGTCAGGTCAGCCGAGTGTTTGATGCTAACAAAAAAACTAAAATAGAAGCTAGTATTTGTTTCAAAATGTGTGCGTTCGATTAAATAAAATGTTTCATTGTAACTGCACCGGTTGGAAGAGGAGACAACCTGCGTAGCAAGGATTTAAATATGATCGTTTGATGGTTATTCACCAGGTAGTTTTTACACAGTGATACAATTATAAATTCAACATCTAATGAACAGAAATTAAAGATAACATCTACGTGTTTGATAGGTAAAATTGAACTTGGACTTGAATTCCAAGACAAATTTGCTCAGTTATACCCCAAAAGAAATCATTTTCACAGAGCCACTTAATTCTCTTTAATTCTACTTCAATAGCAAATTTCTATGTGACCATAGTTTATTGATACTGCAGCCATGCATAACTGAGCTATATTCCAGCAGTTCTTGTCCAAAACCAAATGTTCTTCAGTATGAGAAATTAGTTACTTCTCAAAGATAAAGCCGACAAAAGAGAACGCTTCCCAATATCCCCATCTTCTCTTTTCTTACCTTGAGCTCCGTCAGTCTTGTTGTATCTTCGCTGAAATGACTGACTTCTCACCTTTTTAAAACCGTCAACCTGCCCCCTTTGTCCCATCCGCCACTCATTGGTCTCCCAGCCCTCTGACGCACGCAACAATATCCATCGAACGCCTAAGCCATCATTCTTTCAGCTAAGAAACGTGGGCCCATTTCAGCACTAAGGCCAAGAAAGTTCAGGTAATTATTGATTGTGGGAAGAGAGGAAATGCAAAGGACTCATTAAGACTTTTCAAAGGAGACAGTCTCTGAAAGAAATGCAGCTTTCTTTTATTGTTATACTCATAATTGAGATCGTCTCACAGGGGAAGCACAGACGCACCTGAAAGAATGCCATAATCATCTTGTGATAAATCCACACCTTTAACCAAATGATGCTACGCCATGAATTAGAATACCATCAATTATGCGACAAAAGAAGAGGAGGACCATGCTCATCACAAGGTCCTTGATTTTGAATAACTTGAGATTTCCAGCCAGTTAGATTTTGAATGAATAAAGGGCAAAGCTTTCTTCTGTTTTTTTCCTTTTATCACAGCTTTGTTAAGATGAATAGTTTTAAGGTATACCAGGAAGATGACCACGATTGGAAAAGATGAATGAATTACGGAGTTTGACGTAGAAGCAGGTGGGGTGAAATGGGTTTATGAATCACCAGTGGATGAGTAACAAAAAGTGGAAAAAGGAAGTGAAAATTTGAGTAAAGCAGGCTGAATTTTGAATTTGAAGTAATTTAAACATGACTTGTTTGTTTAATGTTTAAGAATTAATTTATGAAGTTGTGTTTCTGCAGGGGAAAATCTTTTTGTTTGGCCCTGCCACCAAGAACGTCTTTCAATATATTTATTTCTGTTAGATTTCTGTTTGTTTGTCTGGCAGGTTTCATGTGGAACAGGTTTAAGATTGTTTCCATTTTAATGCCAGCCATGTTTAATTCCTCACCTTAAGCAAACAGGGTAATTTGAAACGCGTGACAAATAAATCCCACCAGTAGATTAATTTTTTGGGATTATTTGAGACTGGGATTCATTCAGTTGGTGAAGGCAAATTAGAGAAAAAAAAAGTTTTGCCAATTAATTTCAGCTTAATTCATACACATGTAGGTCATCTCCGCGTAAAGAAAGGCAATGGAACTAAATATAGAGGAAATAGAAAATAGTTTATCCACTCAAATGAAACACATGCATTTCCATGAAATTGTGGCATGGTACTTCATGAAGGTTGTTGCTGGACTGACACGCATTTGCAGAAAAGCTAAAACCTAAACTATCATCTAATCTCGACAGACATTGTAATTGCTGCCACACAAACTAGCAGAAATGGGATCTGAAACGATCAGGATCACCCTCCCTTTCCAATTCTTCTCCCGCATCCCTAAAGTCCTCATGGGAGTCCAGAGAGGAGATACACCCTGGTTCCCCATGGGAGTTGTAGTCTAGGAAAAAGGCAGGGCTTTGTGGTAGCTGCTGGGAGGACTGACTGACAGCCGGGCTTGCTGATGGCTCGCTGATGGGAGCAGTGAGCAGGGAGAGCTGCAGCTGGTCGATGGTGCTGGTGGGAAAGGGCTGTGCCAGGTCCGGTGGAGAGCAGGCTGACATGGTAACAGCTCGGGGTGGAGCGGAAGGAGAGTTTACCTGAGAATCATCAGAGTTGAGCGAACGCCTCAGTTTGGCTCGAGCATTCTGAAACCACACCTGAGGGGATAGAGAGGTGATGCAGAGGCGACTAACAGCCACAGAGAAACACAATTATCGATGAAACTGTTCAGAAAGAGACTGATCAGTACCTGCAGGACTCTCTTGGGCAGGCCAGTCTTATGTGCCAGACAGGTCCAGTCTTTCCCATCAGGGTTATGCTTTTGGGCGAAATAAGACTCCAGGGCTCTGAGCTGCTCGCTGCGGAAACAGGTCCTGATTCGCTTGGTCCGCCTGCGACTCCGCCCACTCGCCCCCTGGTCATCCAGTCGTGGTTCCGGACTGCTCACGGACTCATCCCCATCACCTGAGACCTGGTTTTGACCCATTTCTGATATTAAAAAGTATTGGATCAAAGTTGGGAAAAACCTTTGGGCAGAAGAACAGTCTATGTTCTACACAACCTGTTTGATATATGATAAAGTTAATCATAGTTAAGCAGCCAAAACCCGACACAAACACTTTTGATTTGACACAACACAGTAAAGATTGTGTACCATAAAACCACGCAAGAACTCACCCTCTTTCAGGTTGAGCTTCACAGAGGGGTCGTGTGGTGCCGTGTTTCCCCCATCACCATAATAGTGCGACTGACAGTAGGGATTTGGGCCCTGCATGCAGTACAGGTTCCCTGGCATTAATTTCACATCACATTCCTGCAAAACATCATAAAACAGTTTTTATTTATTTTTTCTTTAGAATAAAAAACAGCCAAGCTTTCACGCTCACCTGACAGGAGAAGCAGTGAGGATGGAAGGTCAGCTCTCCAGACCTCATGACCAAAGCAGAGGGTGGGATTGGCTGGAAGCAGCGTGCACACTGGCCACCTCCAAACAACCTGGTCAGAGGGAGAAATCACAGTGAGGAAGGAAATGGAAATTGTGTGTCTGGCATGCGAGTGAGTAGCCCTGTTTGACCTGCAGTAGTCCTGCTGGCAGTAGATGTTTCCGTCCCTCCAGAAGAGGGACGGGTGTGTCTGCAGCTCGCAGTGACACTGGCTGCAGCGCAGGCAGACGCCGTGCCACACCCTCCCTGCGGCCAATAGGAAGAAGCGGTCGCACACCTGCTCACCACATCCACCACACATCAATGGCTCGTTGATGGACACAGCTGTCGGAGTCTGAGACACGTTAGGCATTACTGAATATATATAAAGCAGAGCTTTAGTTTGTTGAACTCAAATATTTTGGGGGAAAAAAGGAAATGTGCGTGCATTGTGAAGAGCAGCTGCCTTGCTTAGCATTCTCATCCAGTTAGCCTGAGAGGGAAAGCAACTTTTCCCTCTTGAGCTAGTGCTGTATGTGGTACAATACAAATATAAGCTATTCAAATGTCAAGACAAAAAAAACAACAACAAAAACAAAACAATGCTTTTCTTTCAATTTTAGAAATCCAATTAGCAAAGTGTTGTTTGCTAAACTCAGTATTTCTTTGTATGAAAAGAAAAGCATTGGATCTCTATAGTAATCTCCAGGTGCTGAGCACAGAGCAGATTCAGGCACAAACAAGACGATAATGAGGCTGCTATTGTGATCACATTTTCTGAAGCAGAACTTTCTTCCACTGCTGTCGGGCCAACACTGAGCGCACCCCCCTCTGTGTCGTCACCAAGGTCACTGCCGTACAGCAGCTCCTCGAGGGCCCGGTCGTCTGGAGACATCATGGTTGTCCTTAGAAGGCAGAGGGGATTAGTATCATTCCTCTTTGAACTAACAGTTCTCATTAGAGGATTAAAATGAGGTACATTTAATGTTTCTATTTATAACAAGCAAACATCCAAACTTGCTTGTATAGGCTGAATACTATTTTGGCTCTTCACTTAAAGGTTGTGAATGATTTTGCAACTCTACAAATATGAAATTTTGTGCGTCTATTTATTGATTTTCTTTCCCGGAATGTTGTATTTTTGAGCAGATTTTATCGTTTGAACCAGATAACTGCTGTCATTGTTATTAATACTATTAATAAAATATTCATACAAAAAATCAAATCTGGGACAAACCTTTGCGATTGAAAGGTATTTAGAATAATAAAATTGATAATTGAAAACATTGTCAAAGATTATATTGGAAATATATATTACATTTAAATCTTTTTGCTTCTCATTGGCAAATTCATGAAAAACTAGAAAGAAAACCCCTCCATCTTTAGAGATACCATGTTGTGTGTGACCAGGAAAAATGTCCACTATGTTTTTGTCTCCCAGTGTGAATTGCAGAGTCTGGATCACTATTCAGTGTTGGTTTATCATGAAAAAACTTCAACAAGATAAAGTACGAAGGAAAATAATTACGCTTTAAGGGTATAAAAAGGACTTCAATTGTCAAATTATTGCATTGCATTATTGTATATTCTACATTTATAGAAAGAGAACTTAATGTGTGTGTTTATGTATTTTCATGTGAAAGAGTTCTGTTATGAATTTTAGTCATGACATCAGAGACTTTTAAAATGGAAACTCTTGACATAAAACAACAAATAGATGAGACAATGGAAATAACAGTAATGCAAATGCAAATGCAATAAAACTATACTATAATAAAGGTATGAGCAGGTCTATTTAGAAAGCTTACCTGTCTGGTTTGGAGAATTTTGGTTGGCTTTCCACTGAGTGTGCACTATGTGATCTCTGCAGATAGGAAGCATCAGAAGAAGAAGGTCCAACTGTATAAAGTTCCCGTCACAAACATCTCTGCTTTTATAAAAACACACACAGCATTCTCCTCTCAACTTGATATCAAATGAGCTCCCTCACCCCATTCCAGGTGTCTCCTGTTTTGTGGTTTCAGGATCAGTTTCCCCGACCTGAGATCTGCTTCACCTTCACATCCTCATCCAATCACTTTCCCAGCATCTGATCTGTCAGCTGTCCCGGGCGACTCACACCTGTAAACAAGAGGCCTAGCTGGCTCAGAGAGCAGGTAAGAAGCAATGTGATTGGCTGCCTGGTCGGCAGGTGGATGGTAGGGGTGTGGGCTGCACCCTGGGGACCAATTAAAAAACAAAAGCTGTTTAATAGGACATCTGGGATCTGAGCTGGAACATAAAAAGACACCATTACCATTCATTGTACACTTGTACCAAACCTTTCTTTCATTTGGCTTTTTCTCTACGAAGGAATGTGACAAATTAGATCTGAGACCCAAAAATAGGAAGTGTGGGTCTCATAGTATTATATATGTTTATTTTAAAAAAGTACAGACATACAGTTCCAAGCTAAGAACTATGAAAAAACATGTATAAAACATCTTACCTTCACCACCAAGACACACACGAGAGGAATGAATTTAATTGTAAAATCTCTACAGTGCCCCCAGGTGTGTGGGCAGGGGAAATGCAAATGACTTGCCAAAGCACTTTTATCTTCACTTATCAACACATGTTTATACTATTTTTCTTACAACATGACAATATTAGTATTTCAAACAACCAAGGAGATATATGTATGTTTTTTCAGATGACAATGTTATATGATAAAATATTTTTCCAAGCCAAATACTTGTGTGGATTGATAGGCCTGGCTTTTGGTCTAACATTTCCTTCTTTACTGTAATGATGTCATCTTCACCCATCACTTTTTCTTTCCAGCAAGCCAGTCAGAAGAAACATTTTTTGGAGCTGAAACTCTGGTAACAGAACTTATCACAACGTGAAAAATTCACAGTCATGTTTAGTCAGTCTTTTTTTATTTAATGGGTATCCATGTAATGTATGGAGCACATGCATGGCAGCTTATAGTTTTTTCTCTTAACAACATCAATCACAAAAGAAGACTAACATACACACAGTTAGATCTTCTGTATACCTTGACCCCAACCTATTAGAGACACCCGAGTGGAAACAAGAAACAAGATTTCCAGAAAACTTCAAGTTTCAGTTTTAAACATTAATTTTTGGCACAACATACGATAACTTATTGTTTTTTCCTGCTCTGGGTGGTACATTATGAGATAAATGTCTTTAAAAAAAAAAAAAAAAAAGATTTACAAAACATATAATGCAATGTGAACATTTGTGCACCGTTTTGTAAAGTAAAATGCACAATCCCATAATGCATCACTGTAGGTGTTATTGTAGGTGTTACTTAAGTAAAAAAAGAAAAAGAAAAAAATTATATGATGCTACTGAGGGCTAAAATACAATGTCAGATGCTTCTTCTACTACTTATTTAATCTATTTTATTTACACCTAAATGAAAGACATCCAGCAATGAAAGCAAACAAAGAAACAAAGGTAATCAGAAATTAAACCACAAATACATTTCTTAATGTTTTTTTCCTCCTCCACAAATTCAACTCTATTGATTTCAGTTGGAGTAATTTTATTGTTGTATTCTTTTAGGAGGCACCACACATACCAAAGAACAGATCACATAGATATGTTAACAAAAAGAAAACAGAGCAACAAACTGAAGACAAACACTTAGAGGTTTGGCAGGAAGCTGAACCACAACAGGTGCAAACGCTATCACCTGTCACCACAGCCAATGAGCAGCTGATCTGTCTGAAAGTGACCAGTGGGGGGCGCTGCAGAGCTTTAAAACTGAGTTAAGGTTTGGGAAAAAACAGAATGGGAAACAGCCAAGTCCTGAGTTTGGTTTGACTACAAACAGTCCAATGAATTAACAGAACATAACATATGGATCCGATGTCCATAAAATATGGAACTTTTTTTACTTACTTACTTTTTTTTTTTAAGGAAATTGAGGTATGGGGAGTTTTGCATGGGTTTGGTTAGTATTTTCTATATGCAAGAAGTCCCATATTGGGGATCAGATCTCTGAAACTATTGGGACATCAAACCAAAGCAGTGGTGGCTGCAAAGGAATGCACCATTTGTGGTGTAATTTGTGAGATCAACAACCTTGATACATCGAACAAGTTGGAGCCACTTTGCTATAAAATAATGTTGATAAAAAGGAATCTGTACAGTCTACAGTAACATACTGATAACTGACTTTATACAAATGAAAAAATTGTGTTTTAATCGTTGGAAATGTGTGTGTGTGAGTAAATGTGTGCGCACACAAAATCAAGAACACACTGCTGTGTGTGTGTTTAGCAGTCCATCCTCATCTTTCTAACTATTATCCTCTGGCTGGAGGGCTGAATGCTGCTGGTCTCATCTTCATCTCAGTGAACTGGATTGAATGCTCTTTTCCTTTCCACGAGGTCCAGATCAAACCCTGACACACACACACAGAAAGACATTTAAACCTGCTATCATTGCCACAGTTAAAAGTGAGTATAGTTAGCCTTGACACTTTGCCACAGTGATATTATTTATGTTCAAGTATCCAGGATAGAGGACATGTAATGCAAAATTAGTCTGCTTGGTTAATTTTTAATCTGCTCAGGCCTGAAGAATCTCACTTTCTTCACATCTCATGTAAATGGAGCCACAATCTCTTAAAACATTTTAGTTAATAAAGTGTAATTTCCACCTATTTTTGAAAGCTCACTGGTGTGCAAGCATGAAACTTCATCTCAGTTTGAAAGCAAATTCTATTTTAGAAATACTTTTCAACAAAATGAATGAGGTGCTGGCAAAGAGACCGTTTTCTTTGTTTATGGGCTGAGGTGCGAGAATTAATCTTCTGTCATTTAGTCAGATATCTAAGAAAAATAAAGTTATTGCTTTTTATTGTAGATGTCAGAAGTAAAGAAAACATGGAACAAGATTAATTTACTATACTTTGCTAGATGGTTTTGTATTAAGCTTAAATAATTGTTGATTCTGCACCAGAGATGAGACAAACTAAAAAAAAAACACAGATTGTATATTCCTAAATTCAGAAAATGTGTTAAACATATCACAATGAGCAGAATCAAAAAATCAAAACCAAAGATTGGCATCATGGGTGATGAACTAAAAATAAAAAAGTCAGTTTTAAAAAGTGAATTTAATATTTACTGAAAAAACTCTAAGTGCATCAGAAGAGGTGTTATTTGGGACTATGTTCAACATTGAGAGACAGTCATTAGCTGTACTGTGCTCCCACTGTGGATTTCTGCTTTGTCTGGTTACCTGGTGTTGGACGTCGATGCCGTAGAGGCCGTTCAGGTTTGCCTCGTGGCAGTTCTTGTACCACCAGCCTCCTCGATACGACATGGCACAGCGGGTGATGAAGGGAGCTGGGTCTCGATCTTTGGTGGAGAAAACCCGGTTGTTGTGGTAACTTAAAGAGTCCCCTGAAAGATAACAGAAATGAAGAGGGGTTTTGGCATCATTGTGTGTTAGCTCACTGATAATTCACTCATGAATTCCTGCCCCACCTGCAGTGCCGCTGTATCCACCCACAGACAGCTTGTAGTTCCTCTTGGCCACCTCAAACGTTGAATATTTTGCGAACACTGACTCGCCTTGATCTCGCAGGTCGACACGCAGAGTCATCTTTGTCATTGTTGTCAGGTTATGGAGATTTACGAGGCCTGAAAGAATGAAGTCAATGCAGTAGTTGGAAACATTTGTTTGTCTGAGAGCATTATAAACTAAACTAATAACTTATTGTTCGTTAATTATCTGTCTGATGGTGGTAATAATGTGAATATTGATAGTATTGAGTTGTATTGATTAGATACGCTTGTTTTAGCATCATGGAGAGCATTTCTCACCAAGCCAGAACTCTCCTTCTAGGTCCCCAAATCCACTCAGGTAATCCTTCCAGCCCCGGAAGAAATCCACCGAGCCGTCTTTCCTCCTTTGAAAGACCTGCCCGTAGAAGACAAACAGATAAAGACCCTGGAGCAGACTAGCAATTAGACCAGTGTCAGTGTTATGATTGTTTTTTTATTTAAAACAAGTGTATATAGTTGTTGAAGAGAGAACTATTTATAAAGTTAAAAAATATTAACTGACATCGAGATATGACATTACAAACGAATCCCTGAGGTAGAACATGACCTTCTCAAATATAGAGGAAAGTACCCTACTGTTGACACATAACTTGAATGTAAGAAATATATATGGAATTTAAAATCCTTCAGGATGTCAGTTGGACTGAAGGGGCTCTTAAACATCTCTCAGAAATGCGACTGTACCATCCAGCCACCGCCGTCCGTCTCCATGTCACAGTAAACCATGATGGATGCTCCGAGCTTGCCTTTGGGGAAAATTTCCACTACACCTGATGTGTAGATACCGTTCAGCAGCTCCTGAGAGCAGTCAGTAGGGAAGGGGTACCTGAGCGTGCCTGGGGACGAAAAACACGAAAAAAACAAGGTCATACGATCTCTTTAACACCTGATAACGGTGACAGGAAACCGCCTGTCAGAAGCACCTGTGGTGAATTCGGTGGAGATTGTGGATGTGTATCCTCCCGCTCCCCCTGCCCGTAGCTGCGCTGTGTACAGGGATCCTGGATGAAGCCTGCTTAGATTGTACTGAGTCACTGCGCCGTCCAATATCACTTCCTGTTACGATGACAGAGGATGTCAGGAATCATCATATTATAGCAAAATGATTAAGGGGTCATAGCAACAACAAACAATAAATCTAATTTCCAATTTGGGAAAATATCTGCTCTGGAGAAAAGGTCGTTAACCAAACAATTTGTATAAAGAAACAAGTAAGAACTGGAGTTTTTCACCTTTATTTCTTGACCTTCTGTCTTGTATGTCAATATATAGTTGGCAACAGGCTTTAATGATGGCTTCCATGTCAACTTGGCAGTGCGAGGGGTGACATTGCTGGCCTGGAGGTCCCGTGGACCGCCCTTTTCCCTCGCTGAGCATGAAAAGGAAGAGCAAGTTTCATCCTTATGAATGAACGCTATTACAACAGTGCCATTGCACTGCTAAGTGCTCAGACACATCTGTTCATCATTCCAAATGCAAAAAAACAAAACATTTAAAACTGGGCTCTTTGGAAAACCCATAAAGATT